ACAAGAACACTGACTTTCATTATGGAATGAGTAGGTTTGAGAGATTTAAGGCCTTTGTTGCTTCTCTGAGAAATGATACAGAATATTGTCAGGTGTACGACCTGGCTGTTGAGAAAGTGGGACTACCAGTAACCAGGTACAAACAAATGTATTTTGAAATTCTTGACACAATTGTGACTATGCTGACTGAGCGATTTCAGGATATGGAGCGTTTTAGATTTTTGACCTTGTTAACCCTAGGGTGTTTAAGATGTGGAAAGGTGAAGTACCCTCAGAAAAGATAAATCTTCTAAAGGAGGTTTATGGTGATATGTTTGACATACCAAAGCTAGTTAGCCAACTTTGTTTTATTTACAGAGATAAAGACTTTCACTGTGATTCATGCGATGAACTATTGAAATATATTTTTTAGTTCCATTATCAATCTAGTATTCCAGAAGTTGTAAAACTGTTTAAGATAAATGGGGTTTTGTCAATTACAAGTCCTTCATTTTAGAGGTCGTTTTCTTGTTTGAAGAGGGTAAAAAATTATCTTAGAAATACTGTGAGCCAAGGACGTTTTAGTTCTCTTTGCAGGATTTCCATTCACAAAGACATACTGTCAGAGAAATAAGACGCCAACACATTGCATGATGGGGTAGTAAAGAAGTTCATTGAAAAACCACGAAGACTTGCTTTCTTATACAAATAGGTATTCATATATGGCTGATAGCAAGCTGATGATGTCCATGGCATGTGAGAATTTTTCCGGGAACTTTTTAATGCAGTCAATGATGATTGTCATTTCAGCACGACAATTTCATCACAACTTTTGATAGTTGTGGATGACAAATCTGAGCCTTTTTCGGTTCTTTTGTCAAAGTTTCTTTACAAGATGTACATAGGTATCTATTTATGTATGTGGTGTTGAGAAAATAAATCACATATCTGCAACTATTTTTGAACTGTTTCTCTGCTTTACTATAAGATCCTTCGGCAATTTAAATTAACCAAAATGGTTCTATTTCCTGCATGAATATCACGCATTTGCTTTCTAAGATAGCCGTTTCCGACGTTCTAGGGAGTCTAAATTCGGAAAATTTTCTCGCTCCGCGCCAACCATGGCGCCTCGTGAGCCCGACCAAATGTTTTTCGCTAGCTACGCCACTGGTCATCGTTTGTTTATTATTTGCCTTCACACTTTAAAACAAGGTCGACATCATAGGTTGATGTTTGGACAAAGAAGTTTAAACGTGATAGCACTAAAAGACATAAAAATAGTCCACAAAAATACATTTCCTCAGCTTTTAAACAAAAATTCTCTCAAGGTTCTAATGACGTTGAGACGACGCGATTTCAAGTTTTCAACGTGTTTTAGTTATAGTTAGGTAAGCTTCCTTCAAAACTTTGTAATACGATCCTCACCGCACGTTTTAGTCGCAGTGCGAGTCTTTCGTATAGGCCTTTTCAAATAAGAGTTGGGGACTAGGGCAAGTTTTAGCCCGCAAGCACGTCTGGGATTGTTAGTGGGGACAGCTTGTTATATTATTATAGTTGGGAAAAAAAAGTGAAGATGGAAAGCGTTTGAGTGTAAAGATAAAAGTTTTCGCTAAATGAAAGTGATGTTCCTGAGCTAAGCTACCTAAGCCGATCGAGGAATGCAATTGTGCAATTTTACGACGATGGCTTCTTTGCAGAGGAGCAAAAACCTCTGGTAAACTCTCTGATTTACGACTGAGGTCGTTTTAACCAGGAAGGTTTAAATAGTAAAAAGTTACAAAGCATTTTTAACAAATTTAAAGAACTAGAAAATAAGGTTGGGAAGTCCATTGGATGATGTCACATTTTACCCCAGGATATCCCAGTTGAGAAGTATGAGAATGAACTCATATCTCCCATAAAAGTTCGAGACAGCCCTATGGAAATGAGTGCCATTAAAGAGAGGATGGAAAAGATTAAGAAATGCCTTTTCATAGACTACAGAAAGGCCACAGAAATTGAGAAAGAAACTAGAGAGCAATCCTTTAATAAGAAATGGCACCTACATCGACAATACCGCATTACAGCATCTAAATGCTATAGAGCTGCTGTACTTAAACAAACAACCTCACCAACAAAGGCCATTAATGAAATTTTGTATGCCAAATTTTCAGCAACGAAGCAAATGATAAAAGGACTAGAAATGGAACCAGAAATAATGAAGCAATACATAAAGGAGCAACACAAACTTGGACATGACAATTTGTCTGTGTCACAGTCAGGTCTGATTGTTGGCAAGCATGATGATGGTTTCTTAGGGCTAGTCCTGATGGCTTGGTTTGTGATCCCTCGAACAATAATGAACCTTTAGGTATCCTAGAAATGAAGTTCATAGAAACATCTGAAAAGGAAAGTTTAACAGAAGCTGTCTTACGTAAGCACATGTGTGTCAAGCACAAACTTGACAACAGTGGTATTACAATTAACAGAAACCACAAATATTTTTACCACATACAGCAGGAATGTATTTATCAGGAGGAAGTGGGCAGACTTTGTGATTGCTGGATCTTGTTCACCTGGTATATATATTGAACGAGTACCTTTTGACTCTAATTTCTGGTGCAATACTAAGGCAAAACTTAAGATTTCTATGAAGAATTTATTATTCCTGAACTAGCATATCCAAAGATCAAGTATGGGCTGCCAAGAAACAATTTCACAGGAGATAATTAAATGGTGTAACTTGTAAAGATTTTTAAAACATAAATTACTAAGGATAAATAACAGTTGAAAATTTAATCTCTGTCAAAATATAACTAAAAAAAGGGCTTTTTTGCTATAAATCTGTTTTTAATCATGATACTGAATTTCTAAATTATCATTATTGAAATGGCTTGTTTTGTTTATTTATCAATTTTAAACATGAGAACGAAGGCAAAATCTAACAAACAAGTGGTGGCAAAAAATTAGCCAATGCTGTTATGACCACAAGTGCATCTGATGCTAATGGGGCCATAGTGATAGGGATCTTTCTATCTAATATGTGCCAGTTTTTTAGTCTTTCCATTTGTCGTTCAACATGTATGCAGGCTAGCTATAGCTTTGTTCTTGTTAATTTCTTCTTGTGTAAATTGGGTTTTCTTTTGAGAAAAGAAGGAGCTTCAAGAAATGCTCCAACTGACGTAAGTTCATCTGTGTTCGGAGACGCCACTTTGAGGTTGTCGTTTCTTATAAGAACATCGTATTTTTTACGTAGTTCTAAATCCTTTGGCAAACAATAAAATTTGAAATCGCGAGGCTTATTTCTGTGGCTGTTGCTACAACCTGGCACACAGCAGTTACACTTTGGCATTCTTGCTAAATCACTAAACACTTTCATCAACATATGTATAAACACTGCACTTCTATTCGCGAGGTAATTTTGTGTCCCCGGTAACGATCCCAGAAACGCTTGCAGGCAAAATCGCCTTAGTCCCCGCCTCATTTTTGAAAAGGCTTATTGCTATTTGTGTATTTCAATTTTATTTTCCTCAAGATCTTTGCTCACCGTTAGAAGGTAGATGTGAATGAAACTATTCTAATCTTGGTACGTTTTACATAATGCGCATGTATAGAAATTCAAACATATTTATTGTGTGTTGTAGCAAATTTGAATTTATATTTTCTTAGAACAAACATTCTCAAAGTTGTTCACTTTCTTGGAATCATAAAATGTGTAAAGCAACATTAGCAATATATAATTCCTTGCAGTTGCAGAGTGTATAATAACATAAAGTGAACTACATCCTACACAATCCAACAATGAATCTCTAACCGAAAGCGCAGCGGCTAAAGAAGTTTTTGAGACGCCAATGAAGGCATTGATCCTTAGAATGCTGATTCTTCTCAATTAACGTTCTAGTTACGTCTCTGCTCATGAAGACATCGTTCCTTTGATGCTAATTTTTCAGCAAAAAAAAACATTAAATGTGAATATAATTAAATTGATTTCGAAAATGCTTTTCGGAGGATTTAAACCGAAGTTTGGATTTCTACAACATAGTTACACTGTCTAATACAAATCAAAACAGAATTGTATTAACTCGTAGTTAGCACTCATCACTAGGCTTTTAATGACTTTGACTGCTAGCTCATGCGTGTCAAAAGGTTAATATGCTTTCTTGGTATCAGAAATATCTGGAAATATCGATACTTGGTACATATATCAACCCATCGGATCTGTTCATTGATTTTTTCATTTCTGTGCAGATTAGAAGCGTGCAAGGTTCTAAATTCGAAGCTCAATTTCAACTGTCATTTTAAGGTGAAAACCTGCTGCAAACGTTATCAAGATATTTGGGGACCAGTGTATTTAAAGTAAGTCAATGTTTGATCATTTGGTGCTATAAATGTCATATGCATGCACGCTAATTTCTACAAAGATAGTCATTTACTAAGATCATGTTCACTACTATAATCATCTGTTGTACATATCTTTCATCTCGTATTGTGGTTTACGTTTAAATTGTTACAGAACTAATGCTTCAAGGAAGAGGCTTCCGCAGAATGAGAAAATTTTCTTAGGGCTTCAAAAACTTGCGTTGTTCTGTCTGATGTTAAATTTAACTCAGGTTGATGAACGGAAGACAAGTCTTCAAAGCAAATGTTTTATTAAAAATGACATTGATTGAAACATCGTTCATGCTACTCTGATACATAAAATATTATTTTAGATAAAATAAATAAGAATCTTAGGTCACTCATTCATATGAACATTCGTTGATTTGTTTGGCTTGTGTAGCCTTTTATCATGAAGAGAAATCTAGCAAAAATAAATAAGTGCACATGCGAAGACCACATTTATTGCAGTCGTCGCTTGTTTATAATATATTTTGCCTTCACACTTTAAAACAATATCAACATCTTAAGTGGATGTCTAGACAAGGAAGTTTAAACGTGATAGCACTAAAAGACATAAAAATAGTCCACAAAAACACATTTCCTCAGCTTTCATTCAAAAATTCTCTAAAATTTTAGCTATAATTGGCTAATACGATCCTCACCGCAAGTTTTAGTGGCAGTGCGAGTCCTTCATATTGTAATTTGTGTATTTCAATTTTCAATTCCTCAAGATCTTTGCTCACCGTTAGAAGGTAGATGTGAATGAAACTATTCTGGGTACGTTTTACATGCTGTGGATGGATAGAAATTCAAACATATTTGTTGTGCGTTGTAGCAAATTTGAATTTATATTTTCTTACAACAAAATTCTCAGGAATTTTTTGAGTCGCCCACGAACAGAGGCGTAATTAGAATTGTAAATGGGGGGGGTGGGGGTGTGTGCATATTTATATTGACTTAAGTGATTTCTTTTGAAAGTGATTTGAATTTCAAAAGAAATCAGTATTGGACAAGTGAATATATGAATATACACCCCCCCCCAAAATTAAATATCTAGTTACGTCTTTGCCCACGAAGACATCGTTCTTTTAAATAAAACTTCATACAAAAATTCTCTAGACGTTCAACTGACGTCGAGACAACGTGGTTCAACGTAATACCACAGAATATGGAGTATACTGAAGGGTCACTTGTGTCTGAGCCTTTGATGTTTTTGTCCTCGCGCATGTTGTCAGAAAATTGCTATTCTTAATGTCAAATAAGTCAGAGTCTGTGGATATAGACAGCAAGATTGAATTCAAAGAAATTCAACAAAGATGCTTTTACAAAAGAGATTGTATTTTTATATGAATAATTCACCATTCATTAAAATGAATGATTTGAACAAGGGAGTATCATTAAATGTTTGTAGATGTAGATCGTCCAGGTTTGTAAAGTCCTGAGAAGGACTGTTTTTGTTGTTGTTGACTGAAGTTTCGACAACCTTAGCGGTAGTCATCTTTAGAATGAAAAAAAATTGACTCTGAAGATGACTACCGCTAAGGTTGTCGAAACGTCAATCAACAACAACAAAAGCAGTCCTTCTCAGGACTATACTAACTTGCAGTGACGCCGGAACTGGGGGGCGAAGGGGGCAACGGCCCCCCTTGCCTTTTCTGGAGATGGGCAGGGGGGGGCAAAAGTGCTCTACAGGTTGAAAATTTATTGTTTTTAATCCAAGATAAAGACTACTTAACCGTTGTGGGATATTGAATTCTTTTGAGCTTAGCAATAAAATTGTCGTAACTATGTTAGTTTCACTTTAACATTTCTTTGTTTTAAGTACGCATTGTTAACTCTTTGTTTGTTTAGTTAATTCTTCTTTTTTGTTGCAACGCGTGAGAACTTGAAACGCAATGAAAGAGTGAGTACTGCTAATGACGTAAAGGAAAGCTCGACTTATGTAATTACCGATAGTATAAATAACATGTAAATAATTAACTCTAATAGATAGCGTAAGAATACTCCAGTGATGTACTTGTAGATTGTTTGGCTTGTAAAATAAAAGGTTCAAAACGAAGAGTGTTAGTGAACCAGCTGAGGTCCAGTTATCGCTTTTTCTGCAATGCCAAGAGCAGAAAGATGTAAAAAAGATTCAGCAAAAGCATTAGCGAAAGCAGCGGATAAGCCAGGTCAATCTAAAATAACATCGCTGTTTGCAAAAGGAAACACAGGCCATGATTTTGATTCTGCTTCAACAAGCGGAATTGAAACTGTAATAACTGTCAACACTGAAAAAGCCCCAGACTGTGAGTCACAAAAATGGTCCAAACTGAAACGTCTGATTGGTGAAACAGAAAAAATATGCATGAAAACGACATGGGTAAAACATGAGAAAGACTTTACAAGTGAAGACAAGGAAAGTAGTGTGAAGCATGGTCGATATTTCCAAGGTCAGTGGTTACGAAATTATGAGTGGCTAGTTTACAATCGAGAAAAATAAGGCTTTTTGCGAAATTTGTTCTACTCACTCTAAGATAAAGGGAGTGTTTGGCAGTTATGAAGTTGGAATTGATAACTGGAAAAAAGGCTGTGAGAAATTCAACGAACATGAAAACAGTTACGCTCATAAAGAAGCTTGTCTCACATCAGACAAAGGGCAATTGTCTATTAGCATAGCCTGCAGTTCGCTTGCTCTTGAAACGCAGCAGTTAAGACGGAAAGGGTTAATTTCACATCTTCAAACATTAAAACACTCTTACGCCAAGGTATTGCGATTAGAGGTAGAACGGATTTTGAATCTAATATTCATCAGTTCAATCTTGATAAAGCTATCAATGACAAGGCACTAAAACATCGACAAGGTACACGACATCCTGGACGAGCAGAAACAGATGATTGTATTAAATGCTCGAAGACATTTGATTGATAAAATTCTAGTGAGAGAATCATTTTCAATTCTAGCTGACGAATCATCAGACGTGTCTAAGAAAGAACAGTTTTCTTTCTCCGTAAGGACCTGTGATGATAGTTACGAAGTATCGGAAGATTTTGTTGGAATTTATGAATGTTTGCAAGGACTTTTATCTGATGCATTACTGCACTACACCAAAGATATCCTTCTCAGATGTGGCATGGAAGGTCACAAAATGGCAGCTATGAGCTTTTATGGGGCTTCAGCAATGAAATCCCTCGCAAGAAAGCTCAAGGAAGATATTGCACCAAATGCAATTTATGTTCATTGTTTCAGTCACTGCAATGAACTTATTATACAGGATGCAGCTAAGCAATCTAATTTATTGTCTACATCACTGGATTTATGCCAATCCCTGTATGCAATCGTAGGTGCCCATTCAAAACATATTTTATTGTTCGAAGAAATACAGGCAAATTTTAGAAACGAAACAGGAACAAACGATTACAAAGTTCTACGACTCCAAAGTCTTTCAACAACGAGATGGACAACAAGAGTAAAGGCTGCTTACGTCATCTTCAAGAAATTGGCTGAACTACATGCAACCCTTAAAAAATTGCAGGACGATCCTAGCATTTCGGCGGACAGAAAAGCAAAGATTAGAGGAATATTAAGGCGACAACTGTCTTCCTTAATCGTCATCTTTAATTTAAACGTGACAAGAAAGCTATTGGCTTTATTTGATAAGCTTTCTAAAGAGCTCCAAGCGGTTGATATTTCAGCTGAGTACGCTCTATTTTCAATAAGACATGTCCTGCAACGTCTTCATGAGATGAGAAGCGAAGAAGAGTTTGAGCGTACACTTGATGACGCTAAGAAAGTTTTTCGTGTTATGATGTCGTTTCCACTGGAATTTAGTGAAAATTTTGGCACTAGACTAAGAAAAGTTCCAAGATGGATGAATAATGAAGAAATTTTGATAACAGAAAGCCTTCACGTCACAGATGCCTCAGTTTACAACAGTGCGAATATAACACCAATGCGAAGCTCGTACTACCAAGCCATTGATGCAATCATCTCAGGTCTAGGATGGCGATCTGAACAAGACGATCTTTTCCAGATCAAATGTATCGAGAAATTGTTACTTAACTCTATGAAAGAAAGAGGAGTATCTTTAGATGGATTAAGCAATTCTTTGATTGATAAAGATGTTCTAAGAATGCAGCTTGATGATCTTCCTACCATTCTTGGGCTTTACAACGCGGATCAGAAGAAAAAAATAACAGAAGTCACGCGTATTTCAACAATAGCAGAGATATTCAGTGCCATGCCGTCAACAAAGAAAAGGTGCTCAGAGATCCACAAACTAATTATACTATACTACACAATGCCACTCTCATCTGCCTCGTGCGAACGCACATTCAGCGTAATGCACCGTCTCAAAACATGGCTGCGGTCAAACACTGAAGGAAATCTTTTGAATGATATTATGTTCTCCAACATTAAGAAGCAACACATGGATATGGTGGAAATAGACGTAATTGCCAAAGAGTTTTCACAGAGAAATGAAAGAAGAATTAAATATTTTGGAAAATACAATACATGACAAATTGTAAATTAGTGACGTTACATCGTTTGATAGTTATATTATCGTTAATATTCATCGACAACACTGCGGACATGTGCTTCTGTACAGTGTATTGCATGTAGCATATCTCTTTGCTGTTTACCAATATGAGATTATTTTTAGTATATTTCACTAATGTGCCCTTCCACAAAGGCTTGCCCCTCCTGTCCCTTTGCCGTTCCGGCGTCCCTGCTAACCTGGATGATCTACATCTACAAACATGTTACCATTCATTGTCGAAAAAAATGTATGATAAAGATTTAAAAGTCAATTAGTCAAAACGATTTGATTATCATTAAAAAATATCGTAATATTTCACCCTTGAAATACAAATACTTTGGTATTTACTCAATGGAACATGAGGAAGTAAAATTTTGAGGAAATAAAAAATTTTCGACGAAAAAATTTGCGTTACAGAATTAAAACATCCGGCCGTCTCCACCTGGTGCAATTGTTATTCATAATGCAAAGAACAAGGAGTGTAGAGAAGAAAATAGAAAAACAAAATCGAAATATTTTTAATATTATATAAACTCAACAAACTATTTGGATGTGTAAATTTGTTTTTATACTACCATTTTTTGAACAATCTTCACTCGGTCTTAACCAATCTATTTTACAATCTGGGCTGGTTCCTCTTTTTTTGATTTATATGATATCAATAATACATAAGCTTTCTTAAATTATGCAATAAGATACGTTTTTGAACAGATCATCCGCAGCATGAGTCAATATAAAGGACAAATTACAGCTTTTAACTCTAAGTTGTCATGTCCTCGCAATACTTGCTCATCTTTAAAGTAGCTGTATTTTTCTTGGTAAGTGTTGCTTTTTGTGAATGAAATTATATCTGAAATGAATGAAAGCGTAAAATATTGTACGCCATGATGCTTTGTGCTTCGCTGCCATATAAGGGACCTTAAGATTTCACGACGCGCGTTACAACGACGCGAGTTTGGCGCGCATGGCCTGGTGCGAATGCGTCCGCGTGTCATTGTAAGTTAAGTCATTAAGATTGGATTTCCTTAACGACGCGAACTTGTGAGTTCACTACCTATACTTTCAAAAAAATGGCCTCCTTCAAAAAAACAAAAAATGCTATAGCTGTTGCGTATGACGCCGCTTTGATAAACGAAGAAGAATTAGCGCTTTTGTATGATATTTCGCGTTCAAAGAACAATTTAGAAATATATAGTGGCCAAAATTGATATATCAGTACCGTTATTACAAAGTAAGACAAATTTCAAAGCCACTGGATGTTAATTTAGCTAAACAATTAATTTAAATCACGATGAATTTAGTGGTGTGCTTGATGAGCAATCACTTGATGCTGATGAAAACTGTTCTGCCATTTTCTTGCCTTGCTAAAAGCAAAAATGTAAACATATTTTACCCACAGATAAATATCAACATATCAATCACATACCAGACTCCACAGACAATTGTAACAGGTGAATTAAAAGCTGAAATACTTACCTTAAAACTTTTTTTGTGAAAAATTCCACACTCGATGTAGGACGACGTGGGATTAAGCAAAGACGCCGCGTTGTAGAAGCAAGACAAAACTCAACGACGCACGCACATGCGCATTGGTTTAAAATTCATTTCCGCTCGCGTTGTAGATGAGCGCGTCGTTAAATCTTAAGGTCACTATAATGTGAGCTGAACGAAATTATTTAATTTGACAAGAAAATAATATTGACGTATCACTTCTTTAACACTTTTACGTTAATTTAATTTATTTTTCAATTCTTATACCAGCATTATAGCCAGACATGGGGATGATACCGAAAGGCACTGAGTACATTAAAACGGTTCCTTTTTTCTTGAAGATAGCAGAATTTGTAAGTTCATTATTTTTTTTAAATAGTGGAAGACTCTTTGATAAACAACATTTTTCAAATATACAATATTCCTGAGCGTATGCACATATCATATTTTGTATGTTATATAATAGATGCATAAATTTTACAGCGCTAAATTTATCTTTAGGTTATACTGTTGGTTGCGATTGGTACCCTGGGAAGATTTTTGGTCAAAATAGGCCTTACGTCAGAAAAAAGTCGATTAGATTTTTTAATGTTTGCCGTTGTCGTTTTATGGATTGTTGTCGTTATAATGGCCGTTCTCTTTGTTAGTGGATTACATGAAAAAATTAGCATCATTAACTGGCCTTTGACGGTAAGTAAACAAATTGGACGGATTTCGCTTTTGTTGATACTGCACTTAATGGCTGAATTCCATTCAGTGCAAATTGTCGCGCGCGATCGACTTTTTCCGATCACTTTCTTTTCAATTGTAAGCTCTTGACTGGAACAGTTTCACACTGCTGGACACAATTCAAAAGAAAGCAATTGCGCGACAATTTGCACTGAATGGAAATCAGCCTTAAGATAGCTTGCGGTTTGAGCGACGGAGCTTTTCACTGCAAAAAGTCTTTAGGTTGCGGAAAATAGAGAGACTTGTTAGTTGTGAGATCTTTCTGGCAGGTGCAACCGTCGAGTCTCGGTCCTAAGCTTGCATTGATCTTCTCACGAGTTCTCCTAAAGGTCTCCGGAGTTTGCATAAGCTTGGGTAAACACAGCAAACATCTTCTATTTTTAAATTATGATTTCTATAATACAAAATACTCGTTAATGTCTAATTTTAGGTGTTTATCAGCTGTTTGACATGGTCTGTAATGCTGTTCATAGCTGGTTGTCTCCTAGCTGATACTGTTCGCAAGTTTAATAATATTGCGTTCTCTTCTATTTCATCTTGTGATATCCTGGACAAAGAAAACCTTGGTGCAACATGTGGTCATCTTATTGGTGCTACGGTTAGCATTAACAAGTTGAAATGGTTTCTTAGTCACGTTCTTTGAACCTTATATGAAGTATAAGCCCACTCATGAAAGTTTTTACTTTGTCAATTTTACAACACTTAACTCTATTTTCTAGGTTTGCTGTTTCATTGCAAGCATTCTTTTTGCAGTTGATGCTTTCTTTAACTTCCGTATACTACAAGGTCAACGTGACACATCTTCGGCTACAGCCTCTGCACCTGAAAAGACTTCCACATAGGGCGGTCAAACTTTCTTTTTTACCAGCGGTTTACTTGAATGTTTGAACGGTTCTTTTTGACAGCCGATTGAACTTTTGCCATATTTTCTTCGACAATTAAAGCTTCGTTTATTATCATAGATACAAACTGATTATATATAAGGTGTCATTTTCATTTTCAATTGTTTCACTTTTATGTAACAGTAGTTTTAGCATGCTTTTTTACTCAAATAAAACGTGAACATTATTTTTGAGTAGTTTGAACTTTGAACGCTTGCGCCAAGACACTAAAATTTTATCGTAAATTGCGCACAAAAAGCTGCATACTTTAGGGTCTTTGCAAAGTCCACCAAACAAAAACTGGCATTAAGAAGTTTAATGCAAGCAGACATGAAAGAAAATCACAAACAAGCGAACTTTAATGAATTCTCGTAAAATGTTAAAGAAATACACACCGAGCTATCTTTAATCAAAACTATACTGTGAGATCTGCTTTCGTACAGTTCATATTCGGTATGAGTGAATCAAACGGTGAAACTAAAGATGGGTGTTTCCACCTCTGTTTTCAACTTCCCTTTATCCTGGCTTATCTTTATAAGTAGTAGTGAAACTATTCTTTGTTAGTGTTACATTTTGTGGATGGAAATTTAACAGGAATTTGATTAAATTCAAAAAATTTTATGTTTAGCTACCTTAGTTTAATTTGCACTTTTCTTTTGCATAGAAAAAAAATATCATTACACTTCACGGACTGGCGGAATATTCGTGAAACAAAATCCAATAATTTAAATGACGTATTACGTTCAAGTGATATAAATTTTAATATATTAATTTTTGTAATGGTTAATTGTTCTTTTTATTCCAACGTCGCGCGGTATGCAAATACATGGGTATGGTACAACTAAAAAGGTAGAATTTTTACAACGGTAAACATTCCCCGTTTACATTTCTACTACAGTAAACAGTGAGTGCATGTGTTGTGAATACATTTCCTAAGTTTTGTGAAACATACTGAGCGAAATTTAATCCGGGGATAGCGTCCTGTTGCTTTCAACAGGAGCGTACACGGTTTGGGTTAGTTTTCATGTTTTATAGCACCTCAATGACAAAAAATTGAAAGTTATTTGTAAGAAATAAATGTTACCTGAGTGTCAACATTGACATTCATAGATATGGCATAAAACATCAATAAAAACACACATCACTTGCTTCGGTGCTCTTTCAGATCCTTGCACCTCGTGTCGGTCAGTTTCTTCTCCTGTTTTAATAACTTACACATTTCCTTTTTTTGTTGGTTGGGCAGACATATCTAGATTTAAATGAGAATAACTTTCAAAAGAAGCAATACACACAAAGTAAGTTTAGGAAGATGATAAAACAAATACAATGTAGTACAAATTGTTAGAACGGTAATGTTGAAGTTTGATCTCTATTTGCTAAAAACATCTTCTCTTCTTGTCATAATTATTGCTGAAAATGTACGGTTCTAGTGTATATAAAAATAAAAATTCATCGCTTACATTACAAGCAAGTTTGAAGGTCTGAATTTCAGTCTGTAGCTACAACAGAAGATTGACTCTCCGCTATAGATATCAATTTCACTCAAGTTAACAGAGATAAATTTTAAATACGTCAGTTTAAGCATTTGCATGTCATTTAAATAAGAACGACAATCATTAACGCGTACCGCCATTCAAAGACGTATAGAAAACGTTTAATAGCATTTTTGTAAAATAAATATGGCAAATGATCAGTTTCAATAAGATTACTTCATTATGCATTCCATGTATTAAAGATCAAGGAGCGAAGGGATTGTTAAAAGAATTTAGCGTTCATTCATAAAAGTTTTGGAAAGTACAATGGCATGATAACAAATAACATTAAGACTCTATAAAATGTCAATAACACTATATGTTTACAATTGCATGATTAACCCTAAAGATTCTTTCTTTTTATCTTTTTTAAGTGTATGAATGTGAAAGAGTGAAAGTGGTCGTCTCTATTGTGCGCGTATTTCAACAAGATCTGTTCCGCTTCGAATGAACTTCGTTTTTATCAAATACTGTAAAAGCAAATGAAATTAAATGAAAAAAGATATGCTAAGGAGACCAAGGCGAAACTAAAACGTTATGTGAGGGGGTGGGAGGAATATTCCTACATTCAGCTACTCTAATCGCAGACAAACCAAATCAGTCAAGCAGAGCTGAGTATATGAATATTCGATCGTGACTAAAACACCACACGAGTACATACGAGTACACACGAGTACATACGAGAACATACAAATACATACGACTGACATACGAGTACATACGAGTGACATACGACTATATAGAGTTAGGGTTAGGATTAGTATATATATATATATATATATACTTGTGAACAGTATGTAGTCGTATGTTACTCGTATGTACTCGTATGGCAAAAGTATGTACTTGTATGTATTCGTATGTCACTCGTATGTACTCGTATGTACTTGTGTGGTGTTTTAGTCACGATCATGAATATTCACGTTTCTCCACTTAACATTCTAGATTCGCCCCTGAAGGTGAGTTGCCAGAAACTCGTATGTGTAGTGCGTACCATGGTTTAGTGGAGGATTGTTATGAGTGTGATTAGTGGTCACCGTTAGTGACGGTTAGTGGTTCTTTTATTTCCGGCTTTTCAGCCGAGAAAACACCGACTCCGACCGGAGTTTTCGCCGGCTACGGCCGAGAAAACTCCCCTGTCAGCTGCGGTAAAAAGTCCGTGTAAAAAAGTGTCCGAAGATTCATGAAATTTCAAGTATGTTTTCTCATTTATCTGTTCAAAAATCGGTTAGAAAAGATTTCTATTATTACCTTTGGTTTAGTCTCAAGGTCGAGGGAAATTGTATCAGACACCTGACTGGCTTTGTCAGAAGAATATATCAAATGTTTTAACTTATTGCCAGGTTGTCTTTCTAGAAACAATAATAAGATAGATAAAGGGGCAATAAGACAGTATAAATCTCGCAGGTTACAAGTTCAATTGAGTTTTAACTGATCTGGAATTATGTTTGACTGACAAGTGGGTTTCTTGACGGAATAAGGGGCGTCAAAGGTTAAAAAGAGATAAATCAGTCGAAAGCTTGTCTTATGGTGATTGGTTACATGGATCTGGACTGATGGCTTATTGAGCTCAAACAATGCTAACGCGAAATAGCGTTGGATATTGTGTACTTTGTGTTTGGGATCCTTGCTTATTGTCTGAAAGTACATGGGGATTTATTTATTTTAAGTTGATAAGCTTTATAGGAATGATGGACTAAAAAAGCGCCATCTTAATTGTCTCTCTGCGACATCATTATAAACATTTTGTTTATAGACAGTCCAACACCTAACACTAAAGTCCTTTTTTCTGCATATGTTACAGAAGCAATACATTTCTTGCAATTTCTAGCTTTACTCAAAAATACGCTACTCTATATTATAGCAGGTGGATTTACGAATAAATTATTGCAAGAGCAAATTTAATTAAAACTCGTAAATAATTGAAACCAGTTGTTAGTGAAAGAGAAAAATAAAATCTCACGAAAGATAATCCTCACTCCCCCCACCCAGACCAACAATTACAAAAGACCTGTGTCTTTGAGAATTGCTGTTAAGCCCCTTAATTCAGTCATTTTAAGGCCACGATTTAACGTAGTTATACAAAAAAATGACGGATATATTTTAAATGTTTTACAGATATCTTCACCCATGCTGATAAACTGCTCTTTCTTACTAAAACAGCATGCGTAATTATATTGTTTGTTTAAGCCTTGTTCTCATATAGTTGTCTGAGTCGTTTCTGTCGTGCTAAAATGGCTTGACGACTTCTGTGACTATATGAGAACATTTCAAAGGCGACCGGGATGACCTCAAATGACTCACACGACTAAAACGACTAGGGTCGCTTGGATAGATATTTGCTCTATCCGGACGACCGAAACGACCGTTGAGAAATACAAGCGACGATTTTATGGTAAAAAATAATTTGAAGAAGCAATAAACAGCCAAAAGATATTGTCTTTCATAAACAGCAGCCATTTTTTTTTTTGCACAGAAATAATTTATAAAGTCTCTCGGCAGCGCTAGTACGAATATATGAGAATTCCATAGCTTGAGTCGTCGCCGTCGTTTTCAAAAACAACGAAAGAACTCGGAACTACTCGGATGACTTAAGCGACTTAATGAGAACCAGACTTTAGTCTTGAAGAGACAAGTTGCAGATAGCAGCGCTATGGTCTGAATGAAGACATAGCGTATGATTGGTTGTCTTGGCTTCACAATGATTAAATTTTTGTTATCTTTGAAGAAACGTAGTCATTATTGTATTAGCTTTAGTATTTAAATCGTAACTTTGTCTTCAAAACATTCCTTGCAATGGATAAAGCACTGTCGAAGCTTTGAGTTGTATATAATAATAATTTATAATTATTCCTTTACTTGTGATATAAATTTTGTAATCACGCTTTTAATAAATTTATATCACCGAACCCGCGTGCTTAAATAATATTTTATGCCTACCTGTGATTTTTATAGAAAACATTTGATTTTAATTCTCGGTTCTATCTCCTAAACAAAATTTTCATACAGATGTTAATTTAAAAATATCAGACAGCATGCAGTTCATGCAGACAGGTGCTGATTCAAGATATAACTATATCCTTTGCTACTTGCCTCTTCACATGTTTACTGGAAGTGGTTCAAGGTCATTATTTCAGATGCATACTTTACCTTTTATTATTAAAACAAGAGTGTTTCTATGATTTACATTCAATTCTTAAAGTATAGATTGATATGTTAAGATAATATTGGATTTGATTAGCAGTGACAAACAAGGCAATTTTTTACTAATACATTGAAGGTATTTTGTGCTTTTTTACAATATGGAATTGAGTAAAAAAGGACATAAACTTTGCACAGCAGAAACACAGTATAGATAACAAACAGTAGGGCCGGAGGGCCACTGTAGTGATTTTTTTGTTGATGCGCTTCTCTTATAACACATTTAATTATCATATTGTGGCAACCACGCCAGCCAGTAAATTGTAATTTCTGACCAATAAGAACGCTGAACTGACTGATTTTGTGCTTTTCCAGTGACATGTGACTTCATTTTCCTTGCAAGGTGGAGATTGATCAATAATGCATAACTTTCCATAGCATTATATATAACGAGACTTGTATTAATTATTGTAAAGAGGTGCGAGTCTTCTTAACAACAGCTTGCGTGTTTAATTTTTCAACTAAACGCTATCTTTGCATATCGTTCACAAGTATTTGCAAAACTTTTTGCGGTAAGTGTTTCATACGATTGCATGAAATTTCACTGTGCTCTTTCCTTCTTCTTCACTGTTATTTTTCTTTTTATGTTTCTTATCGATTTAACATACTCAAATGTGTTTTTTTTTATAGTTAATAAATTATGGATTGAATGTCTGATACTACAACGTATTTTCTAAAATACAGGCTCTTTTACACAGCAACTGGAAAAACAAAAATTCCAATTTTAAGCACACAAGCGTAATATAACTGACCTAAACTTGGTTTTAATTAATAATTTTGACATGTCATTTTCAACCAGTCATGACGTCAACTTACTTTTCTTTGCATATTAACATTATAGCCAAACATGGGGGCGATACCGAAGGGAACTAAATACATCAAAACGATTCCCTTTTTCTTGAAGATGGCAGAATTTGTAAGTGGTTTACTTTATTTAAATTTATGGCTGACCCACGTAATTACTGCATTCGGCCAAATTCTATACTATACACGTGTTATATTTTTCAGTTCCATGCTTTATGCATGTGTATTGAAATGTTTGATTCATTTGTAGGGTGTACTATTGATTGCAATAAGTACATTGGGAGCATTTTTAGACAACGTAGGTTCTGCCATTAACCCTTGGGGAGGAAAAGGTAGCTTATATTTTGGAATGTTTGCAATTGTCGTCTCATTGATTGTTGTCATGGTGATGGTCGTTTTTTTGTAACTGGATTGCATGAAAGAGTCACTGTGATCAACTGGCCATTGACGGTAGGTATAAAATATCAAGGAAATTTTGTTTTTGTTGAATCAATGATTGTCATCAAGATAATATTGCACAGTATTTTTGTCAATGAAAAGTATCGTACTCAATGTTATATTTCATTTTCTCGTAGAGAAACCTGAAATTCTTTGAAATTTCTATTTCTAGATGTTCATCAACATGGTGCTATGGGGTGTAATACTGTTAATAGCCTGTGGTGTTATGTCCAACACTCTTCAAAAATATTATAGCAAGAAGATCACTAATACACTATGTAATTCCCTGGACACAGATAAAGTCGGTGTAACATGCTTTCATCTTATTAGTGCTACGGTTAGTCGTTAACGTGCATTTCCGATATCGTTTTAGTGCAAAAATTTGAAGCCGGAAATAGACAGCTATAATTAGATGCGCCACCATATTGAACAGTCCCACTCACAATAATAATCTATAGTAAAGAACCACGATAGCAATGAATTTTTGAGCGCATTGTACTTACAAATCTTAAAAAAATCTTTCAACGTGAGGCTAGAAGCATTCTTTTGCAATAGTATCTCTCAAATGGTGTCACGAAAATTTTGGAAAAAAATCCTTTTTTAACAGTACAACTGCTTCCTACACTTAACCTTGTTAAAGCTAAAACGTAGCAGTTTTGTCAATGCACCTTAAGAGATTTCGCACTTTTTCGCAGTAGAAATTAATATAATTTGTAAGTCAACCTCGTGAAGTGGGACTGTTCTGGCTTCAAATTTATTTAGTGATGCGCGATCCATGTTATATACAAATCAATGAGTTAAATGACTACTTAATCACATTTAACCACACACTTATATGAAGTATTAGACAACTAAAGAAGAGTTTTTGGGTGTTTCAAATATTTAGCCTACTTATTTCTATTTTTCAGGTTTGCTGTTTCATTGCAACCATTATTTTTGCAGTCGACGCAAACTTAAACTATCATTTATTCAAAAGTAGAACTTGTACGACGACGCCAGTGACATTAATTATATAATCAGTTGAAACTGTAGTTATTTTTCTCACCGATTTTACTTATAACTGTACTTCTGTTAAATAAATGAAGCAAACAAACAGAGTTTCAACTGACTATTTAACTAAGGTCCCTATTATCATAGATAAACTGAAAATGTACAGTATTATTTGGTAAAAGTAACAAGGGTGGCCGAAGATTGATAATTGGTTCGGAGGGGTAATATTTTTATAATACACGTTCTACTTTATTAATTTCTATTGAAATCAATTGTGATTACGTAATAAACTTATAACCTTATAAACTATGTTATATTCTAAGTATAAATTTTTTTGTATGTAGCGTTTTGTAAATAACTTTAATGTGCAAATTTATAGTTGCTGTAAATAGTCCAGCTGTTAACGACAAAAAAACACCTAACCCTTCACTTTGATGATACAAGTATGAAACTTTCTCACATTCTTACTATGCCTAGTAACACAAAATTTTGAAATAACGCCAGCCAATATTTTACATTTAAAACGAGTTCTGCGAATGTCGAGTTTGATGACGTCATCGGTAGTAAAAAAATAAGTTCAGAGAAATCTGCAATTTCCCTGTATATTCTTATACAACAGCTAAAGACGATAGAAAAACTATATTACAACTTTTTCTTTTGGGGAGGTATACATTCATATATTAAGCTCTGCCCTTCTTTTAAAATTAACATCGCAAACAAAAGAAATTAGCAGGGCAGAGCAGAATATATGAATATATACCCCCCACAAAAACGTTCTAGTTTCACCCCTAGTTCACACACCCCTCAAAGAAATCAGCTTAAGTTGACGAGGTATATATAGCTACTTATCTTTAAATTTCTAGGCTTGTTGTTTTATTGCAACCATAACCTTGGCATTGAATGTTCTGTTCAACTGTCAATTATTCAAACCCACAACATCTACAGTTGCAACTCCAATAACAATTGTTACGGCTACTACACCACCAACATTTGCTAACAGTACGACATCAGCACAATTTTTTGCGGTGCGACACCAGCAACATTTGTTTCTTAAATTCTACTTTGCGTACGCAGTTATACTATTTGTTCACATTTTTATCATAATTTCATGTAAATAAAGTTTCTTAAGGTTATCATAAATATGCACTGACTATACGGTATCATTTAGCATTTTCATAATCTTCCCTTTCATTTGATTTTGTGGCCAGTTTGTCTTTTGAATGCGTGAAATTCAAGCTTGTTACATAAACATGAAGATATTATCATTCCCAACTCCCAAATTCATTTAATTAAAGAGCTTTTGTTCTTCAAAATTACGAATACGTTGTGCGATAGCTAGGAATTCTCTAACACAAAAAGATTTAAGATGGCAAGTTTCCTGTTGATAAATGACATATATTCTTTCATCATTTCTGAAGCTCGAGAAGTTCACAGTATCGTTACATGTTTGAAGATGTAGATTATCCACCTTAGTGGAGCCTGCGAAGGACTGTTGGTGTTGATGTTAATTGTCGTTTCGACAACCTTTGCCGTAGCTACAAACATGCATTACTTCTATTTCCCAAGAAGTCTACAATTCATAGATTTGTTAGTGAAGCATAGGATTATTGCAATGTCTTTTTTGATAATTTTTGCTTCTCTGCACTATTGTTTTTTGAAATTAAAGTTCATACCTAGAGTCGAGGACTTTCAAGAATAATTAAAATCCTCAACAACAGAGACTGACAATGAAACGACCATTTTAAATGTAGGATGTAAAATATTTTTGACTAGAGTCTTTCAGCGTTCCTTGTGTATAAATGCAGCCTTTCAGTTTCTTGTTGTTTCAAGCCAGCATGTCAAGGTTGATGTTGAACAGAAAGTTTGTTACAGTTTTAGGAGATCTTTTATTAAAGACAACAAAAAATGAATTTAAAAAGACACCCAAGAGAAAACTGAGAGAAACTCTCAAAAGAAAATTAAAGGGGAAATAGATTCAACTCGTACAAGATATATTTACTATAATATGCAAAATACCTTTTGAAAGTAAAAGATTTAAACTTTTTCTTTTTAAACTTTTCAAACATTGCTCTGAACTGTTTCATTGTAATTTGACACTTTGTTAAAAATTGCCCCTCTCTTTTTACTTTTTCATTTAAAGTAGTATTCACGGAGCTTCTCCTCTTACAGAAAGTCAAGCAGAAAATATTCCAATTTTTTTTAAATTTATTGTATATCATATATTTAAGGACCAGCCACAACATATAATTTTTTTGAAAGTTTGAACGTTACCACTGACTTAATACTGCTGGCTCATTTGTCAAAAGAGCAAATATTTTTTCTTGGTATCAAGAATATCTAGAAATATCGATATTTGGTACAATATCAACCTATCGGATACCTTCCTTGATTTTATCATTTATGTGCAGATCAGAAGCATACAAGGCTCTAAATTTGAAGGTCAATTTCAACTCTCAGTTTAAGGTGAAAACCTGCTGCAAATGTTGTCAAGATATTTGGCGATCAGTGTATTTGAAGTAAGTCAATATTTAATTATTTGGTGCTATAAATGTCATATGCATGCACGCTAATTTCTATAACGATAGTCATTTACCAAGTTGATGTTCATAACTATAATCGTCTGTTGTACATATCTTTCATCTCGAATTGTGGTTTACGTTTAAATTGTTACAGAACTAAATCAACTAATGCTTTAAGGAAGAGGCTTCCACAGAATGAGAAAATTTTCTTAGGAATTCAAAAACCTGCGTTGCTCTGTCTCATGTTAAATTTAACTCAGATTGATGAGCGCATGGCGAATTTTTATAACAAATTTAATAAAATGGCAATGATTGAAACTTCGTTCAAGCAACTCTTTTATATCAACCAGTTACTACAAATAAGAAAGATAAAATTTCTGAGTTTCTCGTTCATTCGTTGAGTCATTGAACATTTATTCATTTATGCGGCAGGTGTAGTTTGCTATCATGAAGAGAAATCTAGCACAAATAAATAAGAGCGCATTCAAAGCCCACATTTATTGCAGTCATCGTTTGTTTATTATTTGCCTTCACACTTTAAAACAAGGTCGACATCATAGGTTGATGTTTGGACAAAGAAGTTTAAACGTGATAGCACTAAAAGACATAAAATTAGTCCACAAAAATACATTTCCTCAGCTTTTAAACAAAAATTCTCTCAAGGTTCTAATGACGTTGAGAAGACGCGATTTCAAGTTTTCAACGTGTTTTAGTTATAGTTAGGTAAGCTTCCTTCAAAACTTTGTAATACGATCCTCACCGCACGTTTTAGTCGCAGTGCGAGTCTTTCGTATAGGCCTTTTCAAATAAGAGTTGGGGACTAGGGCAAGTTTTAGCCCGCAAGCACGTCTGGGATTGTTAGTGGGGACAGCTTGTTATATTATTATAGTTGGGAAAAAAAAGTGAAGATGGAAAGCGCGTTTGAGTGTAAAGATAAAAGTTTTTCGCTAAATGAAAGTGATGTTCCCGGAGCTAAGCTACCTAAGCCGATCGAGGAATGCAATTGTGCAATTTTACGACGATGGCTTCTTTGCAGAGGAGCAAAAACCTCTGGTAAACTCTCTGATTTACGACTGAGGTCGTTTTAACCAGGAAGGTTTAAATAGTAAAAAGTTACAAAGCATTTTTAACAAATTTAAAGAACTAAAAAATGAGGTTGGGAAGTCCATTGGACGGTGTCACATTTTACCCCAGGATATCCCAGTTAAGAAGTATGAGAATGAACTCATATCTCCCATAAAAGTTCAAGACAGCCCTATGGCAATGAGTGCCATTAAAGAGAGGATGGAAAAGATTAAGAAATGCCTTTTCATAGACTACAGAAAGGCCACAGAAATTGAGAAAGAAACTAGAGAGCAATCCTTTAATAAGAAATGGCACCTACATCGACAATACCGCATTACAGCATCTAAATGCTATAGAGCTGCTGTACTTAAACAAACAACCTCACCAACAAAGGCCATTAATGAAATTTTGTATGCCAAATTTTCAGCAACGAAGCAAATGATAAAAGGACTAGAAATGGAACCAGAAATAATGAAGCAATACATAAAAGAGCAACACAAACGTGGACATGACAATTTATCTGTGTCACAGTCAGGTCTGATTGTTGGCAAGCATGATGATGGTTTCTTAGGGGCTAGTCTTGATGGCTTGGTTTGTGATCCCTCGAACAATAATGAACCTTTAGGTATCCTAGAAATGAAGTTCATAGAAACATCTGAAAAGGAAAGTTTAACAGAAGCTGTCTTACGTAAGCACATGTGTGTCAAGCACAAACTTGACAACAGTGGTATTACAATTAACAGAAACCACAAATATTTTTACCACATACAGCAGGGAATGTATTTATCAGGGAGGAAGTGGGCAGACTTTGTGATTGCTGGATCTTGTTCACCTGGTATATATATTGAACGAGTACCTTTTGACTCTAATTTCTGGTGCAATACTAAGGCAAAACTTAAGATTTCTATGAAGAATTTATTATTCCTGAACTAGCATATCCAAAGATCAAGTATGGGCTGCCAAGAAACAATTTCACAGGAGATAATTAAATGGTGTAACTTGTAAAGATTTTTAAAACATAAATTACTAAGGATAAATAACAGTTGAAAATTTAATCTCTGTCAAAATATAATTAAAAAAAGGGCTTTTTTGCTATAAATCTGTTTTTAATCATGATACTGAATTTCTAAATTATCACTATTGAAATGGCTTGTTTTGTTTATTTATCAATTTTAAACATGAGAACGAAGGCAAAATTTAACAAACAAGTGGTGGCAAAAAATTAGCCAATGCTGCTATGACCACAAGTGCATCTGATGCTAATGGGGCCATAGTGATAGGGATCTTTCTATCTAATATGTGCCAGTTTTTTAGTCTTTCCATTTGTCGTTCAACATGTATGCGCAGGCTAGCTATAGCTTTGTTCTTGTTAATTTCTTCTTGTGTAAATTGGGTTTTCTTTTGGAGAAAAGAAGGAGCTTCAAGAAATGCTCCAACTGACGTAAGTTCATCTGTGTTCGGAGACGCCACTTTGAGGTTGTCGTTTCTTATAAGAACATCGTATTTTTAACGTAGTTCTAAATCCTTTGGCAAACAATAAAATTTGAAATCGCGAGGCTTATTTCTGTGGCTGTTGCTACAACCTGGCACACAGCAGTTACACTTTGGCATTCTTGCTAAATCACTAAACACTTTCATCAACATATGTATAAACACTGCACTTCTATTCGCGAGGTAATTTTGTGTCCCCGGTAACGATCCCAGAAACGCTTGCGGGCAAAAATCGCCTTAGTCCCCGCCTCATTTTTGAAAAGGCTTATTGCTATTTGTGTATTTCAATTTTTATTTTCCTCAAGATCTTTGCTCACCGTTAGAAGGTAGATGTGAATGAAACTATTCTAATCTTGGTACGTTTTACATAATGCGC